TGAAATTTTCACTGGTTATTTATATTTCCATTTTCTATACATGATAAAATTTTCTAAATATTTTGAGTTATTTTGAGCTTTTTACGGACATTTTTAGTTTTCATTTTTTAGATTCTGAGCGGAGCGATGAATGTATTGGTTTTACAATGATGTATGTTTTTATATTTTTATTTATATTTTTATATTTTAGATTCTGAGCGGAGCGATGAATGTATTGGTTTTACAATGATGTATGTTTTTATATTTTTATATTTTTATTTATATTTTTATTTATATTTTTATTTATATTTTTATTTATATTTTTGTGTCTGTCATCACGTTTTGGGACAGTAAAAGTGCTTCGATTTTCTTCAATAGTACCTTTTCTGATAGGAAAGTGAATCTAGTTGGTACTTTGGGGGGTCAAAAGTAAACATTTTCCAGTAGTTTTCACAAGCGCCGGGAAAAAACAACATAAAAATTAAGGAAAAAACGGGAATTTTTACGCAAAATCGATTTTCCAAAAAATCGAATTTGGTTATTGGTGTAACTTTAAAACAAATGACCGTAGATACATGAAATTTTCACTGGTTGTTTATATTTGCATTTTCTATACACGATAACATTTTCAAAATATTTTGATTTATTTTGAACTGTTTAGGGACATTTTCATTTTTCATTTTTTTTTAGTTTTTTTTCTAGAAATATCAATAAAATTTTATTTGTTGGTTGCGAAAGCTTGAAAATTTAATAGAAGGCTCCTAATATGTTGTTTCAAAGGCAGATGAAAAATATTAAAAATCCTTAGTCACAATTTTTTTTTATAAGCATTTAAAGTTCAAAAATTGACAAAATATGGAAAAATCACGAAAATTAGCAAATTATTTTGAGTTAAGAATTCGTAAAAATTTTTCTTTTTAAATCTAAGATTTGAAAATGAAACACAAGATTCCTTATAAGATTATCTACCTTTATCAATAAAAAAATCTCTACCGGAAAGTCAAATTAAATTTTTATGAGCGTTTGAAATTCAAATTTTTACAACATTGGATTTTCACTCGATTTCTCATGTAGCGATTTCCTTATTTTGTTGTAATTCAAAAACGAATAACTGTAGATACATGAAAATTTCACTGAATGTTTATATTAGCATTTCCTATACACCATACAATTTTGAAAATATTTTGACTCTTTTTGAGCTGTTTATGGACATTTACAGCTTTCAATTTTTTTTAGTTTTTTTTTCTATAAATATCAATAAAGTTTTATCTGTTGGGCCAAAAAGTGTAAAAATTTAATACAAGGCTCCTGATATATTGTTACAATATCAGTTGAAAAATATTAAAAATACATATCCACGATTTATTTTATAAGCATTTAAAGTTGGAATTTTGACAAAATTTATCAAAATCTCAAAAATTATCAATCGTTGGAATTAAAAAATTATAAAATGTTCAGTTTTTATAACTAAGAGTTGAAAATTTAAAACAAAGATTCTCTTAAATAATTCATACTGTAACCAAAAAATCTAAAAAATATATAAACACACTTATTTTTTACAGACATTTTAATTTCAAATTTAGACAAAATTTCATATTTAAACCAAGAATTACGATTTTAGTTATTTTGTTGTGATTGAATAATATTATTCGTGGGTACTTGAAACTTCTAAAGTGTACAATTATATATCTATGACAGTATCACGGTTTTTGTTGATGTATAACGCGTTATAACTGTTATAAGTATCTAATGGATATTGTGATATGATTAATTTGGAATTTATTATAGGTCAATTTTTTGTTTAATACCATAGATATGTATATAATATGTCTTATACATAGACTGACATACCGTCACCGCTCAGAATCGTTTTTCTTATACAATGATATTATATCATTGAATTCAAATTTAATACCATCCATTATACAGTGACCCACTTGTAACCTACTGTACAGCAGAGCGACACCCACTTGCCCACCTTTTTATATTTTAGATTCTGAGTGAAACGATGAATGTATTGATTTTACAATGATGTGTGTTTTTTTTTTTTTTTTATTTTTTTATTTTTTTTTTTATTTTTGTGTCTGTCATCACGTTTTAGGACAGTAAAAGTGCTTCGATTTTCGACTTCAGTATCTTGTTCGATTGGAAAGTGAATATCGTTGGTGCATTGGGGAGGTCAAAATTTAAATTTCCCAGTAGTTTTCAAGAGCGCCGGGAAAAACGAAAGAAAAATTAAGGAAAAACGGGAATTTTTACGCAAAATCGATTTTTCAGAAAATTGAATTTGGTTTTTGATGTAACTTTAAAACAAATGACCGTAGGTACATGCAATTTTCACTGGTTGTTTATATTTGCATCTTCTATACACGATAACATTTTCAAAATATTTTGATTTATTTTGAACAGTTTAGGGACATTTTCATTTTTAGTTTTTTTTTAGTTTTTTTTCTAGAAATATCAATAAAATTTTATTTGTTGGTTGCGAAAGCTTGAAAATTTAATAGAAGGCTCCTAATATATTGTTTCAAGGGCAGATGAAAAATATTAAAAATCCTTAGTCACAATTTTTTTTTATAAGCATTTAAAGTTCAAAAATTGACAAAATATGGAAAAATCACGAAAATTAGCAAATTATTTTGAGTTAAGAATTCGTAAAAATTTTTCTTATTAAATCTAAGATTTGAAAATGAAACACAAGGAATCCTTATAAGATTATCAACCTTTATCAATAAAAAAATCTCTACCGGACAGTCAAATTAAATTTTTATGAGCGTTTGAAATTCAAATTTTTACAACATTGGATTTTCACTCGATTTCTCATGTAGCGATTTCCTTATTTTGTTGCAATTCAAAAACGAACAACTGTAGATTCATAAAAATTTCACTGAATGTTTAAATTAGCATTTTCTATACACCATACAATTTTGAAAATATTTTGACTCTTTTTGAGCTGCTTATGGACATTTACAGCTTTCAATTTTTTTTAGTTTTTTTTCTATAAATATCAATAAAGTTTTATCAGTTGGGCCAAAAAGTGTAAAAATTTAATACAAGGCTCCTGATATATTGTTACAATATCAGTTGAAAAATATTAAAAATACATAGGCACAGTTTTTTTTTATAAGCATTTAAAGATCAAATTTTGACATAATTAATCAAAATCTCGAAAATTATCAATCATTGTAATTAATAAATTATAAAATGTTCAGTTTTTATAGCTAAGGATTACATATTCAACACAAAGGTTCTCTTAAATAATTCATACTATAACCAAAAAATCTAAAAAATATATGAACACACTTATTTTTTACAGACATTTTAAATTCAAATTTGGACGAAATTACATATTAAAAAACCTAGAATAAATATTTTAGTTATTTTGTTGTGATTGAATAATATTATTCGTGGGTACTTGAAACTTCTAAAGTGTACTATTATATATCTATGATAGTATCACGGTTTTTGTTGATGTATAACGCGTTATAAGTATCTAATGGATATTGTGATATGATTAATTTGGAATTTATTATAGGTACCTATTATAGGTCAATTTTTTGTTTAATACCATAGATATGTATATAATATGCCTTATACATAGACTGACATACCATCACCGCTCAGAATCGTTTTTCTTATACAATGATATTATATCATTGAATTCAAATTTAATACCATCCATTATACAGTGACCCACTTGTAACCTACTGCAGAGCAGAGCGACACCCACTTGCCCACCTTTTTTAGTTTTTTTTTCTATAAGTATCAATAAAATTTTATTTGTTGGTTATAAAAGCTTAAAAATTTAATAGAAGGCTCCTAATATATTGTTTCAAAGACAGATGAAAAATATTAAAAATCCTTAGTCACAGTATTTTGTTATATGCATTTAAATTCCAAATATTGACAAAATACGCATTTCCTATACACCATATAGTTTTGAAAATATTTTGATTCTTTTTGAGCTATTTACGGACATTTTCAGTTTTAAATTTTTTAAATTTTTTTTTCTATTCATATCAATAAAATTTTATTTGTATAGTAAAAAAGCTTGAAAATTTAATGCAAAGCTCCTGATATATTGTTAAAATAACACTTGAAAAATATTAAAAATACATAGGCACAATTTTTTTTTATAATTATTTAAAATTCAAATTTTGACAAAATTTATCACATTTAAAATTTAATAATAATTTTATAGTTAAAAATGTATAAAATGTTCAACTTTTATAGCTAATGATTGAAAATTTAAAACAAGAATCTACGTAAATAGATTATATACAAATTGCTTTATACACCTTATAGTATCATCAAATATACTTAGTAATATCATAGGTTGACCGTCTTCGCTCAGAATCGTTTTTCTTATACAATGATGTTAGTATATCATTGAATTCAAATTTAATACCATCGATTATACAGTGACCCACTTGTACCCTACTGTACAGCAGAGCACCTTTTTTTGTTTATCAAACTTAAATAACTTTTATTTTGGTTTTGATATCGGAAATATAAAAACAAAGTTACAGAGTAAATTTTCTCATTTTTATAATGTGAACATTTAATTTCTTAGCTTAGAGTAGAGCCTGAATATTTTTTATACCCGTGCAAAACAGTTTTGTCTATGTTGTACCTACGTCTGTAATACGGAGACAACACATGTGGGTGTACCTAGCGTCTTCTTTACAATCATACAGACTATTTGATACATTGCACTTTAGAAATTATTGTATACACTATACAAATTAAATCTAATGCAATGCAGAAATATTAGGATTAGGGGGGTGTGGGGGGCAAAGGCCCCCACGGATCTGTGAACCATAAATTATCCCAGCACCCCCTAAATTCACACCCAATGTGCGCCTATGATGATAGCCGATAGGTCACAAGTATTCACAACCATGGTATATTATTATTATTATTTTTTTTTTTATGAATGTAAAGTATTCTTTGTAAGTGGAAAACACCTGTATAAGATCAAGAAACCCGTATCCAGTATCATCACAACTTCAATTGGATGCATGTCTGTAAGTTCATAAAAATAGCTTTTACCAAACATATATTTAGTTTGATTTATACCAATGAAAAGTTATAATACATACCATCATGCTAAATACATGAATAGTATAAATAATATATAGATTTACAGAATATGTTGAATATTATATTATTATCGTTTTTCATAAAAGTACGCGTTGAAAAAAAAAATAACCGCTTCATCAAATGAAACGAAAAGAAAAGATTGGTTAGAATATGCAGATGATAAGTACAATACACATAAAATATCAGAGTTGAGATCAGCGTTGGACGTTATGTATTTGCTAATTCCAGTCCCGTTGTTTTATACACTTTTTGATCAACAAGTAAGTTATTTCATAAAATATGTTAGTTACAAAATTAAATTAATAAATTGTCCATACGTATCCGCCCGACTATCCGGTATCGGCCGTACCTATAGGTATAGTTATATTATTATTATTATTATTTATTTTGTATTGGATTAATGAATCAAAACAATAAAAACATCCCTGTATCTGAAGATAAATCATTTATTATTTTAATTACATTTTTGACGACTATTATATGTCATCAATAATCACCTATAAATTATGTTTCATTTTTATGACTTTTTTAATTTTTTCGATACAAAATACAAATGTAAAAAAAAAATCATAATAATATAGATAATGTAAATTTTAAATAATTCAAATAATTTATATTTTAAGGGGTCTCGTTGGACATTACAAGGAACACTCATGAACGGAAAGATAGAATTTTTGAACTGGTCCATCAAGCCTGATCAAATACATTTAATTAATCCGTTGTTCGTTTTGATATTCATACCACTTTTTAATGGTGTAGTCTATCCAATTTTGTATAAAATTGGTATAAATACACCTTTAAAAAAAGTCACTCTAGGTGGAATATTTGCTGCATCGTCGTTTGTATGTTCTGCTGTCGTGCAGCATATTATTATTGTAAGTATACCTAACTAGTCATTAATAATTATTATGAAATCTAGTATGAATATATTTTAAACAATATATGTATAATATGAATCTTAAAGTTTCCTTCTCAATCACACCATCTAAAATGATTTGTGTTCCATACTTCCATAGTTCCATGACAGTTTAATTGTTTTTATAGTAATTAGTATTTATCTATTGTCTTAAACTTTTAAATAAAGTAAATAGCTTCAAACGAGGATCAGAATTCTATAAATTAATATATAAACTTTTAAGTCATATACATTATTCAAATCAATATGTTCGCCAGGTAATAAAAAATCATTATAGGAAGCTTAAAGTTACTATAAATGCTAAAAGGACATTTTTTAATATCTTTAATATCCCGATTATATGAACGCTGTAAACTGTTGTTTAGTAAACACTAAACACTTAATATATTATATTAATAGGTACCTACGTAAACCGATAAACGGTAATATTACAATATTGAGTACCTATTTTAATTTCTAAAACTATTTTGTATATTTTATGAATGATGCATCTCCATTTATGTGTTTATTTATTTACGACTAGCATTTTTTTTAAGCATGATATGCTAGTGACTTGTAAATGATGAATTATATTTGTATATTGGATTATATTAGATTATATAATATTAGATTATTAAGTACCTAAGTATAATAAAAATTTAACAACTTTTACTACACTGTTGTAATTATGTATGAAAGCTGCATGACAAGTAGGTAGATTATCATATGTTTACCTAAATATAATATTGATCGATCATAAAAACAGGCTTATAATATCTTAATGGCTTTAATAATAACTTTTATAATAAACTTTTCATTTTTTATTTAGATGACTATTGACTACCTAGTTATTCATTTAGTCTAACACATTATTAATAATTATTCATAATTATTTTTTTAAACTTATTAGTATAACTTTCAGAAAATGATCATAAAAATTAAGAATCATTTTTCTTCTATATTACTGTCTATATATTCAAGTAAAAGGTGTCAGGCTCTCAAAAAAATCACATTGTAACCACTAACCGAATACCTACTATACCGAATACCGATACCTACAAAACTGACTCAACCTCGACATGCTCAAAACCATGGTTTATCCCTTGGACCAAATCCAAATATATATAATTAATCATGAACATTTTATTTTCACAATTAATGAAAAGTTAAACATCTATTTTTTTAAGACGATTCACAACATGTACCTATTTATTTTTGTGTATAGATTTTTAAAAATTATTTTGACTTTATTTTCAAATTCATAATCCAAAGTAGAATATTTATAATATGATCATAATTTGACGTAGGCATTACTACCAAATATATAAATATATTGAAGGAATAGTATTATAAATAGGTATTTAAATTATAGATAAGAGTATGTGATGGCAAGTGAAATGTCAAGGTGAACATGTGTACTTACCGTAATATTTATTCACTTAACTGCTCATAAAAATCTTAAAAAAATATAAATTGCAAAATAATTCATTCAATATTCGATATTTATACATAGTTAACTAAAATGCATTTAATTGAAGATGCAATGATATACCTAAACTTATCTTAAACAAATGAAAATCCTAAAAAATTACCTTATTAAATTTGTTTTACAATGTTTGTATTAAAAACTCCGTTTAGTGAACACTGAAGAATTTTAATTACCTATCCATATTCTATATACTTTCTACATTTCTAACTACATCTTTTTAAGTAAACAAATTGTCTCGTATCTCGTCAAGTCAAAAGTCATAAGAAAGTATAAAAAATTAAATCAAAGAAAATGCATTACAAATCTTATATTATTATATATAACACACAAATAGTTAAAAAAAGTATAAAGTTCTTTCAACATCCAAAAATGTTGTGTTATTTGGAAATAAACCAGAGAAACATAATTAATATAAACTTATTGATATTTAAGATGGAATTTTTGATTTTACAGGGTCATCCCTTATTATTGCCGTCAAATGAAGGTCAATTAAGAATATATAATAATTTTGATTGCCGTGTAGCTATGTCCGGTTCTTTGGTTGGAAACTTCAGTTTTGAACCATTATAGGTCATAGATGTACTTCATATTAATTACAGTTCAGCCGTATTTAATGAAACTGATGTTCTATCTATAGAAGTAAATCCTAAGTGCCAATTAAAAACGGGTACTTTGAAACAACCTGTTTTTATAGTCCAAGGAAGGGTTAGAATTATTATGATTTTTTCGATATAATCAACCCATTTAACAAACAGCTATAAAGATATATATATTTTTTATTTAAGGTTTCATCGTATTTATTAACATCTAAAAACAATGATGAGATTGAATTAAAAAATTTAAACGAATTGAGGAAATTAAGGAGTGGAAATTCAAATCTAAGGTTAGACTATTGATTTTAAGATATAGGACATAGGTACAGTATAATATTATAATAAAACCAATGGTAGGTAAGGTATTAACTATACCTAATAATAGTAATAAGTGGCACTAATAACTAATAACTACCTAATAACTAAATAAAAAATGTAAATAAATATTGAATTGTTTGTTTAAGTACACAATTATGTGCATTTACGAGTATTGATATTTGATGATTCCAGAATATTAAATAATTAAATTAGAATACCATATATTTATTAGATCTCACATAATATTATATTGATAATACGTCGTTCATTTTAATAGGATTTCCTACAGTGATAATTTATCCGGCAAAAGCATTACATTAAGGAATACTAATAATAAATTATCTGATATTAATAATTTTCAAGCAGTGCTATTAAACAAAAATACAAACCATGAAATACCTGTTGGAACGTAAGTGTGATTTGTATGGTATACAGTTTAACTATATTAAATTATTTCTAATCGGAATTTCTCACCTAATATTTTAGTTACGATATATACCTAGACAATGAACACATTTTGAAAAAGATAGATTTACTACCGGCTAGTGTTAATGAGTTAATATTTCACCAACGTTTTAACCAGACGGTAACTAATTTAATTGCATTACAATATTATATACTTAAACATTGTTCAGTTGACAGTTTTAAATTTTGTAATTTTAAATTTCAGAACGCCAAGTTAATTACTTTAGAAAATGGAAAATATATACATATTCTATGGCAAGTTCCTCAAACGCTTTTAATTACAGTAGCTGAAGTAATGATCATCGTTACATTATTGGAGTTTACGTTCACCCAAGTAAAATAAATATCAATAAAATAGTGAAAATAATTAAATACATATTATAATATTTTTTAAGTAGATAAGAAAGCTCATATTATATCGTATACATTTTTAGGCTCCATTAAGTATGAAGTCTTTTATATCTGCAGCCAATTTATGTACTCAGGCAGTTGGCAATTTACTTATCGTCATTATATCTAAGATGAAATTGTTTGAGAATCAAGTAAGATGCTAGTTGAAAGATGTTTTTCAATCTAATCTAAATGTTTTATTGTTTAGGTTCATGAATACATATTTTACGTAATATTAGTAGTATTAGGTGTCATAATATTTATGTTGATGAGTGCCAAGTATAAATATAAATCTGTAACAGATAATCAGTCTCAGAATGAGCGATAGCATTTTAAATATTTAAATATATTTACAATATTTAGCTGCAGCAACATCAAAGATCGAAATTTAAGGTAACTCTTGAAAGGATTTCACATTTTAATTTTTGATCATTTTAAATTGCTCATAATATTTTATATTAATTATTATTTGTTATTTATATTATAATTACACATTCGTAATTACAAATTATTATATTAATATATTGATTTATTATCATAAGATACTGTTACTTTCAACGTTGTTTATTTGCTTTTATTTAAAATCCGATGTATACATCGGCTTAAATAAATCATACAGTTTATTCATGATATTAAAGTTAATAGGTCTAGGTACCTATCTACTATCTATATCTGCTATAATACTTGTTAGGTACTATGCAATAAAATGGATTGATTGCAATAATTTCTGAATACACAATCACATTATAATTATTATAATGTGATTGTGTAAACTTAAAATAGGTATAAGTACTTCACGGCCATTATACTTGTTCGCTCTGTACAGCTGTTTGGTCTATGAAATAGTTATAAGCACTGTTAAATTTCACCAACTTTTTAATTAAATAATACTTTGAAAATAGGTAAAATGGTTATTGAAAACATTTATTTTGTTTTCATCACTTAGTTGTCATAATTTATTATTCGAATGTTACAATTTCATTAAATTTATTTAATAAAGTTTTATAGAATGCAAAACAAAAATAATGTGAGTACCTTTATTATTACATTTATTGTTTATATTTATATATTTGTTAACACACATATCACCAAATTGTTTAATAAATGCGTAGAGTTATCCAAAAGCCGTCTGGTATATATTTGGAAACGAACTGTGTGAACGGTTTAGTTTTTATGGACTCAAAAGTAATTATTTACACTAACATAATATCTTTCATATAAATATTAAAACGTAGGTTTAATTTTTAAATATTCATATGTTTTTAGCTACTTTGGTTTTATTTTTTACAATTATTCAAAAATATGACAGTAGGATGATTATGTATGTTCTGGAGCTCCTCCCCCTTAAATTTTACATGTAAAATCATAGGCTGCTCTGTATAGGCAATTCGAAGTACAGCCTCCTCCCAAACTTGTATTAATTACTCAATATAGGCAACCCGCAACACACATAAACTCGTCGCACGCCAACCCGATCCGACACGTGTCCGACATATATTTTACGCCTTCTCCTTAAAATACATTACCTCCCCTTTTATTTACCCTTTAAAAAAAAAATATAATATTCTGATGTACATTTGTTTCGACTATTTCGAACCCTTATCTGACATATATTTTACCCCTTCCTAATCAAATACATTACCTACCCTTTTAAAAAATATAAATATAATATTCTGATGTACCATGTTTCGACTATATCATACATACACATATACATACATACATACATACATACTCATAATATAATATAAGGTAACAACATAACATATATCTAAAAATATTATACCATTTTCAAATTATAATCAAATTCGAATAAACATCTCGCTAAAGCATACGTTATACATCGAAATGTATCACACACACACACACACAAACTCATACATAGTCACAGTTATAAGCAATAAGACATTCCAATCCAACAGAGTACCACCCTAAATTATATTTTACACCCCCACCACCCGTCCTCACACCCTAACAACATCATCCGACTACAGACCTGTACAAGCCTGTAGTGACACATCCGAGTATTGTCGATGAATTCCAGCCATAATGTATAGTGCACAGAGCAATATGAGATCAATCCGTTTACTACCGTTGAAGTGTCAAGTCGAGTTATTTCAGAGTTATTAAGTGTTTTTAAAGTGTATACAAATATTTTACAAGTTTTATAAAAATCAAATTATTTATTTTACTTTAATGAACACCGTAGTTCATTTTTTCACCACTAGTTCTGATATTAGCGCATACGTTAATAATTTGCTCAGATAAAACTATTTCACACTGTTACCTATTTAAAGTACAGTATATTTTTCTATAATTCATTACCCATCTATTCGTTGAAGGGTAAAGACTTGTTTCGTGAGTTCGACTAGTATTCTTCAGTTTTCATCAAACGTAATCATGTTCCCGTGTAGTATATGTGGTAAAACCTTTACAATGATTAAAAATCTACACAGACATGCCAAGTCACACGATGTTTCCAAAAAGATTTCATGCAATATATGCTCAGAAATATTCACGCGAAAAGATAACCTCATCAGACATACTAAGGATAAACATCGTAAGTATTTTTTTAACTATTTACAGATTTATTAGATAAAATATATATATATATATATGATCAAGGCTACGTATATCATGTTTAATTATTACATTAAAACTTATCTAAAAGTAATATATAATAAATGTGTTAAACAAAGTGTAATTTATTCGATGAATCATTTTTTCAAGTACCTATCCAAAATATTACTATTTTTTAGGTTCAAATATTGTAATTCATCAACAACCAACCATAACCAAGCAAGAAATTCAAGACTTTTTTACACCAGCTGAACACATTTACGATTATAATGGTAAATATATTATTATTCATAACTTTATATATATATATAACTTACTTAGGTAATTATAAATATATTAGATACTTTATAAAAAAATAGAACACTTCATGTACAATTATTACTTTATCGCTGAATTAAAATAAATATTACTTTATAAAAATATAAAATATAAAAATATACTAAGTTGTATAAAATCATAGAAATGTAGACAAAATCGTGATAAATCCTATAATCATCATAGTTAACCCGTTAAGATCATATGTACCTATATATATATATGTTAAAAATGTTCGTAAAATTGTTCAATAATTTTGATAAATACATGTAATAATATAGTATTTGAAAATATTTCCATACGATTGTTATCATAACGCTATTAAAAACATACATAAATAATTTTAATTTATTATATATTATATTTTTAAGTATAAACAGATATTTTAATAAATATATTGGATCATTTTATACATATATAATAATACAATATGAATATCTTATTTTTCTATGAAAAACATATACACATTTAATATAATACCAATAAAAATATAAATAGGCAGACTATTTATCTAAAGATTTTAATAAAATATTATGAACGCCAGTGTATGTACATCTTACTGTTACTATTATTTCATGCTACACAAAAGAACGTTGTGTATTATTACTGTAGCTATATATATATATTACATATACATGTGTGTAATACTAGAGCTTGATACCTACCTCTTTTTGTATATTTTTAAAAATCGTATTTTCTATATGATAAACACATCACTAACATTTTTTTAAATTCTTAATTTTGCTTCAGGTACTTTTACTAAAAAAAAACCGTTTATATTTATAAAAACAATTTATCTTTTCTATCCCATTAAAAACTTTTTTAGATTTTCAAGCTGTAACACGCGTTCATATAATGTTTACCAATACAATAGTAAAATTATTTTTTTTTCAGTTCAATCTCGCAATGGTAATAAGCGTCCATATCATACTGAAAATTCGAACGAAGCAGCAAATGCTAAAAAGACACGCATAAGCATCGTCAAGACACGAGGATTCATTAAGACAGGCACATCGTTATCGAATAAAATCAATTGGTATTACGTGAAAAATACAGATAATTTGACCACCTACAGAACATTTTTAGAATCAATAAAAAAAGACTTAATAGAACTACTCAAATCACTATCAACAAAACAACCAATTAAATATAATCTTAAATTAGAAGCAACATATGAACGCCCGAACGTGGAAAATTCAGCAGAGAATAGAGCATTTAAGACCTCAGCTAAGGAATTGTTTATAGATACAGATATCGAAGCTAAAATTAATCAAGATTTTGCAAATCTTTTGTTAGAAGAAGAAATTTATACTTCTAAAGGAAGTGGTTTTACGTTACAATCAATAGATGGTTTACTGTTGGGAGTATATAATTATACGCCTATGTGTGGTTCGTCTTATATTACACTTCCAGAGGACATTAAAAATAAAAAAGCAATTATCAATCCCCAAAACTCGGACCAACAGTGCTTCAAGTGGGCAATCCTAGCAAGACACGTTTCGGGCAATGCCAAAAATCAAGTGGCTGAAAATTATACATCGCTCGAGGACAATTATAATTTTTCTGGTTTGACATTCCCAACACCTGTGAGGGAAATAAAAACATTTGAAAAAAATAATCCGAAAATATCAGTCAACGTTTATGGATTAAAAAAAGAAAAGAATAAGAAACATATTGTTTATCCACTTAAGGTTGTGGATGAAGAAAAAAAATATCATTCTGATCTCTTACTAATTACTGATGGTAATAAAAGCCACTACACCTACATTTCTAACCTTTCGAGACTTGTGAGATCACAAAAAACATCACACACCGAAAATGTTGTATTTTGCAAACGATGTTTTACCAGTTTTGACAATATACATACAAAATATAAGTTAAAAGGTCAGGCGGGGCTTGAACAACATAAGTTGATATGTGGAGCACATAAGCCAATTCTACCTAAGATGCCTGAGCCTGGTACATTATTGCAGTTCGATGCGTGGAGTAACGCTCAAAGACATCCATTCGCTATATATGCCGATTTCGAGGCACTCCTTGTTAAATGTGACGAAATAAAAGGCAAGAAAACAGCAGCTTTTCAAAAGCACGAGCCAATGAGCTATGGAGTTTTCGTAAAGGCTTCAGAAAGCGTCCCCGTTGATTTGCTTGAGAAATATGAGATACCAACATCAACTATTATTCATCGCGGAAGCGAGTCACACCAGGATGTAGCCAAACGTTTCGTTAATGAAGTGACAGAGATCGCGAGAAGAGTTCAAGATTTACTTAAAACAAATAAACCCATCATAATGACAGAAGAAGAGCAAATAGCACATGTATCGAAAAGTACATGCAATCTATGTGAATGTAATTTTTCTAACAAAAACCAAAAGGTGGCAGATCACTGCCATCTATCAGGAAAATTTAGGCAAACTTTATGCAATACTTGCA